CCTGGACCCCGTACTCCGTACCCTGTACCCTGTGCCTCGTACCCTGTATCCTGTACCCCGTACCCTGTACCCTGTACCCCGTACCCTGTACCCCGTCCTCCGTACCCTGTACCCTGTACCCCGTACACTGTATCCCGTACCCCGTACCTCGTACCCTGTACCCTGTACCCTGTACCCTGTATCCCGTACCCCGTACCTCGTACCCTGTACCCTGTACCCCGTACCCCGTATCCCGTACCCCGTACCTCGTACCCTGTACCCTGTACCCCGTACCCTGGACCCCGTACTCCGTACCCTGTACCCTGTACCTCGTACCCTGTATCATGTACACCGTACCCTGTACCCTGTACCCCGTACACTGTACCCCGTACTCCTTACCCTGTACCCCGCACCCCGTACCCTGTATCCCGTACTCCGTACCCTGTACGCTGTATCCCGTACCCCGTACCCTGTACCCCGTACCCTGTATCCCGTACCCTGTACCATGTACCCCGTACCCTGCACCCTGTACCCCGTACCCTGTACCCCGTACCCCGTACCCTGTACCCTGTACCCCGTACCCTGTACCCCGTACTCCGTACCCTGTACCCTGTACCTCGTACCCTGTATCCTGTACCCCGTACCCTGTACCCTGTACCCCGTACCCTGTATCCCGTACCCCGTACCTCGTACCCTGTACCCTGTACCCGGTACCCGGTACTAGAATCAGGTACATGACAGAGAGAAGGACCATGTATAGTCAAAACTGAAGACTATTTCACTAAACATAATTATACAGGCGTATATCAAACAAGGTTTGAAGGGTTAATGTATAGAGGCAACTTCTTAGAAGAAATTGGAAAATATCAGAATACTACAGCGTAAACAAGCAGTAACTGCAACTTTAAGTCAAGAAACTAAGGCAAAATATCAATAAATATTTACACAGCGACCACTGAAAAAGTACACAGATGGTATACCCAGGTGTTTCGGAATGGTAAGCGTCGTCTTCCGCTTCATCTATGAAACACGCCATGTACATCTATGTCAAATCCTAGTAATGTTAATGGAACAAAGGGATAGAGACCACGAAATGACAAGGTATTTTGGCAGATGAAATTCGTTGGTACATTTGTATTCAAATAAATCACACAAGAAACAAAACAATTCTCAATCAGGTGGTGATGGCGACTATAAGATTTGTCCATAGTCATCATCAACTTGTATTTCCCAGGAACATGTGTTATAGTGGGGGCTTACACCGCGGGTGGAGTCACAGGGGCCTGAGCATTTTACATGTGTTAGGGGTTTAGATCGACTTTCGGTGAAAATGCCATCCCCATCAGGGGTGTCATTTTTATCGGAAGTCGATCTAAACCCCTCAAGCATGTAAATTTACTCTGAACACCTTATAGTTTAGGTCCAAATATACCTGTAAGACATTCTCAGGTAACAGAGATCTCACATTTAACATATTTCATTAACAAACACAGAAATCCACATAGATAAATATATGACGGTCTTTTCCTATGAAAAGTTATGATTTTGTTTAAGTTAACAGCCATATCAGTATGTTGTCCTAAAACAGCAAACGGAGAGGTACCTCTGGTCGTATTTTGCTGAAGTCGTCTAGAGTTATCGCCCGTAATATTATTTCAATAAGCGAAATGCATGGTACCCGCAAATCAGTATTAATGTCATTGAATCCGTTTACCCATGCATTTTCTATCTGTACTTGTGAGTGTATATATTTAGTGAACCGGGTGAATGTCTTAACAAAATTGATATGATCATTTAGTTCTTTGCAGTGTTTTGTTACAGAATTTAACAATTTCTTTAATAAATTTATTATTTTCTCCATTAGTTATAAGGAATAGAAGCAGCTAGAAACGTACCTTAAAATGTATCCTAAATTCTCTGTTTTACCAAGCTTCCCGCTACAAATAATCAAAGCTTTGTTTGGTGTTTGACGACCGTTTTAGGCCTAGATTGCGATCGATGTTGACATTTTGTGCGTCCCTGTGTCTTGTGTTAAAAATACGTACGTATTCTTTGATGTCCACAAGGAGCAAACTTTAACGGACATTCTGTTCCTTACACCAGAGAAGGTGTTCCCATGTGGCCTAATAAGCCTATATAAAAACTGATTATGTGTGAGGGGAGATAACTGTGCGGTGTCTACGACCGACTGCGGTCGACGTTCTGTTTGGATTTGACAGACGTGGCGGAGGATGACACAGGTGGTATTGGAAACACTTTATGTCCGTACTGGTTTCAACCCAATTTTTGTAAGGGTTCGTGTTGTATTTTATTTTTTATGGTATTTTTGCCTGGTTGTTTTTCTATGTTGACGTGAGCTACATGTACGCTTTTATCATTTGTTGGTGGTATTCAAGCAAATATTTAGCAAATGAGTTATGATCCTGTAACAGAGGAAGTACCACTGCTGACAATCTTAGTAGGGCTATATGTTAATTTGTCAGCAATAGCGATGCATGTTCTAGGAGTGTTCCACCATTTATTTGAAACATCCATAGTTTATATTTATTTATAGTTTCTCTGATTTAGACTTGTGCAAACTGTGTTGGTAAATTGCGACATTTGAGTATTCATTGATCGATCATCAAAATGATACACTGTGAAATCACTAATTTTCGTGGGCTTTTTTAATTTCGTTGATTTCGTGGAGTAATATTCATCCACGAATTCATAGGTCCACGACAAAATTAATTAGGTCACGGTAAAGTGTATATTACGAGAAAAAGTATTTGCCTATACATGTAGAAAGGGTGAATTACCGAACCCCTTTCCATTTCTTTAACACGCACAAGTATGTACACACAAATAAAGTGCCGCTAAAACAATACACAAAAAACATATATCTTATGTAAATAAATATTTATTTTATTGTCACAACAAGTACACGTCAAAGAATCGATAATAATCGCAGCACTCTCATACTTCACCCTGATCTCTTAAATCACTCTCGATTCTTCTATCTCACTCACATTGTGCACTGTATACTTTATCTAATAAGCAATAATTAATTTCAATTCATGGAATGTGTTATATAAAACTGTTCTAGTAAGTAAACTGGATTGTCCAAAGAGAAATGAGAAATGAGATATTTAAAGATAAATTCCGGCTGCATCTTAATATTGAAAATATAGAAAGTGTAACGGAACGACGTTCATGAAAATGCCACCAGTTGATACAAATCTAAGAAAAGTTGTGAAGGATATAAAACGATAAATAACGTTATTTATACTCTGATAACATTTTGGACCATTATTTTTTCGCGTACATGTCCTTACAATTTTCACTGTCAAACTTGCACTCTATTTACATTGGGGTGGGAGGCCGAATCTTGTCGAAACCCTAATATAAATGTATTTGTTACATTATTTGTTCGGCGTTTGGCCTTTAGTTGAGCGTTCGCCCCTAGCCTGTGAGGAAGGCTTTGGGTTCTGTCCTCTGGCCGAGACATACCAGAGTCTGTAAAAATGGTAGATTCAACTCCTGCTTAACGCTCAGCAATTTAGGAGTGGGACGACTGGTTCGCCCGTTGTCAGTATAATATGACCGGGTGGGGTGTCCTGCTGGTTGCCTTCAGCAGTATGTTTCAGTGAGGTAGCACTATAAAGTCGTCATCAGTTCCGCGCTATCACAAGGAGACAAACACGAACATATCGCAGCCTCCCAAAACACACACGCATACACTACAGCATGCATCTTGCACACGGGGAAGGCCGTCCTTAAATTGTAAATGACCATAGCTGTTGATAGGACGTTAAACAATACTAAACCAAACCAAACCAATTTGTTCCTTAAATGCCTGATATCAAAGATAACAACAGTTCTTTACAGACATACGTCGAGTGGAGCAACATATAAAAATTTCAAATACGTTAAGTATACGTACGTATATATATGGGGCAAAGAAGTAATTCCAACAGTGTGGACAAGTTGTTATATGGGATTTTACCGTCTATATTACTTCTTTGACCCATACGTATATATATATATATACCCTGTATCTCTAGAACCTCTATATAGCTGGAAGATTTTAATTTGAAGCTTATAAATTGTCAGCCTCCCAAGAATTCATTCAATTATGATTAATTCATAACGAGAAAAAAACAGTAACATTTGCATGACTGTTTATCCTTTAACGAATTGCATTTTGTATAAATTTTCAAATAACAAGGGAGATCAAACTGATATTAGGCATAACATACATTTTGTAAAAACACAACCAGTTGAAAATTTCATTCCCAGAGAAAATCAGATCGCAAATATATTCAAAAATCACAAAAGTTGCTCATATGCTTTTCCCCATTTTAACCAGAATCCGCAAAGAAACAATAATAATGCTTTAATAACTAGTCTCATATTTTCCCACCGACAAATTTATTATTGGTTGTCGAGTTGATTATCGTGGGGGGGGGGGGGGGGGGGGGGGGGGGGGGGGGGCACACATTGTTGTTTTGTAAAAAGCATTCCAAATGCAGTTAAGGTTTCACAACTGTTTTGTAAAATGGTCATGTAAATTGCTATCAATACAAAGACAAAAGTTACTCAGTATATAACACAGGGGACACATTTGTTCTATACATAGCTTTTCATAATACTACACACTCATTCCGGGTGTCACAGTACACCAAGAATGTATCACCATATATTGCAATACAGAATGAATATATTGCCATATGTATCCCAATATATATATTGTCATAGGAATTCGAAGGATGTGCTCAATTCTATAAAAAGTTGTTGTCAGAATGTTATCAAACTTAATCATATATAATATGGATCACATAGATTAAAGATTTTTGTCAAACCAACAATCGATTACAAAATTTGAATTAATTCCCACCACTATTAAAAGCCTGCTTTATGCTTATTAGCATATCTGTTAGAATATGTAGTAATTTGCAAAGTTAAAACACCAAGCAGATACATGAAAATATGCTTTTTAAAAATATTGCCATACAGCAATATTTCATCTCTGTATTGTGGTACCATACAATGTACCTGTGTATTGTAATATACCTGTTTTCTGATATATTGTGACAGCCCTAAAACTCACAGAGTCACTTTTACCTTGGTCCTCAATAATAACACACACAGACACACTGTCAGTAAACAGTTAAAAAGTACATCATTATTATAATCCTGACTGAGGCCTCCTATATATTGTATTAAACAATAATCCAAACATCATACATTAATAAAGTTTTCTTTCTAGTTGGTTATACAATTTCAAATGACATATTACTGGCTTATTTAACTAACAGACTTTGTTCCGCCAAGTAATTATAGCATACTACCCTAGTACTAAAATTTAGGTTCTTATTAACTGCTTGAAAAATGGGTCTATGAATAAAGGCGTTATATGAAATATATATTACTGAACCTTTGCTAATTAAGGGGACAATTTCCAAATAGTTTTTAAAAGTCAAATTAGAAATATATGTTAAAAAATGTCCCTTCTTATAATTAATTATCTTGGCCTGGATACTGAAAGATTTGGTTTTTGTTTCGCTTAACATTAAAGTAAAAAATTCTAAATTCATTTCATAACATAAAATATAAGAAAAATTATGGAATCTTTGAACACATTGAATTTTGAGTTATGTAGTTTCATATTTATACAAAAAATAAAATGTATGCATTCACTTGTTGGTAAAACACCAAAGTGAAAAGAATGAGATTTTAATTTTGAGATCATGTCTTTGAGCAAAAACCAATCAATAGATGATAAATTCCAACCACAGAGTGATGAAAACTGCTTATTGTATGAATATATTGATACAAGGAAACCTCAGTCAAGTTTTTGTCATAAAAGCTGCAGGACATTATCTCCCTGGTATAGTGCATGCGGCCAAGTCAGACCATCCCCAGTGGGCTGGTGGCTGGAGGGAAACAGTATGTGTCTCACAAATGACCTGTGGTGGTAAGAAAATGTATGTTTGGTTAAAAGGAAATTTACTAACTGGAATCAAAATTTATAAATCTGGAAGGACTACAAGAATAAATTATGTATAAACAGTAAAAATTCAATATCATACCCTCTTTTCATATGCCACCTGGCTTACCACAAAGGATTTTAAGTTTTCCCTATATATTTTTCTTACCGTAAGTATCCCTGTCCCATTGCCTTAAGTATCCCTGTCCCATTGCCTTAAGTACCCCTGTACCACTATCTTAAGTATCCCCATACCACTGCCTTAAGTACCCCTGTACCACTGCCTTAAGTATCCCTGTCCCATTGCCTTAAGTATCCCTGTCCCATTGCCTTAAGTACCCCTGTACCACTATCTTAAGTATCCCCATACCACTGCCTTAAGTATCCCCATACCTCTGCCTTAAGTATCCCCATACCTCTGCCTTAAGTATCCCCATACCACTGCCTTAAGTATCCCGTTACCGTTGCCTTCAGGAACCCCATACCATTGCCAAACATTGTAACTATACATTGGTAACTATTTTGTCCCAGCATCACTATAGCTTTGATAACTCATTTTTGACAAGAAAACCACACCTTACCGAGCTTTTATGAAATAGTTGAAATAAAACGAAAAAGAATCTGCAACAGTGTTCCGAGTGTAAAAATTCAATGAAGCCAGATCTACACCAGGATTTGAACCCTGGACCTCATATCGCTCTACTGTTGCTCAACCAACTGGGCTCCATGGTCAACAAAAGTACCCCATGCCTTCTGGTATATCCAAAACAACTTTAAGGGGAGATTACTCTATGTACAAAAACCTACAGTGGAACTCTCTAGTGTTTTGCTGCAGTGGGACAGTGGTCCTTAACAACTTCTTTATATTCCTTCCTCATTATATCACCAGACCCCTTTATATACCTCCCTCATTATATCACCAGACCCCTTTATATGCCTCCTTCATTATATCACCAGACCCCTTTATATACCCCCCTCATTATATCACCAGACCCCTTTATATACCACCCTCATTATATTACCAGACGCATTTATATACCACCCTCATTATATCACCAGACCCCTTTATATACCTCCCACATTATATCACCAGAGGCATTTATATACCTCCCTCATTATATCACCAGACCCCTTTATATGCCTCCCTCATTATATCACCAGACCCCTTTATATACCACCCTCATTATATTACCAGACGCATTTATATACCACCCTCATTATATCACCAGACCCCTTTATATACCACCCTCATTATATTACCAGACGCATTTATATACCACCCTCATTATATCACCAGACCCCTTTATATACCTCCCTCATAATATCACCAGACCCTTTTATATACCTCCTTCATTATATTACCAGGCCCCTTTATATACCTCCTTCATTATATCACCAGACCCCTTTTCATACCACCCTCATTATATCACCAGACCCCTTTATATACCTCCTTCATTATATTACCAGACTCCTTTATATACCTCCCTCATTATATCACCAGACCCCTTTATATGCCTCCCTCATTATATCACCAGACCCCTTTATATACCAACCTCATTATATCACCAGCCCCCTTTATATACCACCCTCATTATATTACCAGACGCATTTATATACCCCCCTCATTATATCACCAGACCCCTTTATATACCAACCTCATTATATCACCAGCCCCCTTTATATACCACCCTCATTATATTACCAGACGCATTTATATACCACCCTCATTATATCACCAGACCCCTTTATATACCTCCCTCATAATATCACCAGACCCTTTTATATACCTCCTTCATTATATTACCAGGCCCCTTTATATACCTCCTTCATTATATCACCAGACCCCTTTATATACCCCCCTCATTATATCACCAGACCCCTTTATATACCTCCCTCATAATATCACCAGACCCTTTTATATACCTCCTTCATTATATTACCAGACACCTTTATATACCTCCTTCATTATATCACCAGACCCCTTTATATACCAACCTCATTATATCACCAGACCCCTTTATATCCCTCCCTCATTATATCACCAGGACCCTTTATATACCTCCTTCATTATATCACCAGACCCCTTTACATACCTCCTTCATTACATCACCAGACCACTTTATATACCTCCTTCATTATATCACCAGACCCCTTTACATACCTCCCTCATTACATCACCAGACCACTTTATATACCTCCTTCATTATATCACCAGCCCCCTTTATATACCTCCTTCATTATATTACCAGACCCCTTTATATACCTCTCTCATTATATCACCAGACCCCTTTACATACCTCCCTCATTACATCACCAGACCACTTTATATACCTCCTTCATTAGAAGGAGGTATATAAAGGGGTGGGGATATAATGAGAGTGGTTTATAAATGAGTCTGGTGATATAATGAGGTTGGTATATAAAGGGGTCTGGTGAGATAATGAGGGTGGTATATAAAAGGGTCTGGTGATATAATGAGGTTGGTATATAAAGGGGTCTGGTGAGATAATGAGGGTGGTATATAAAAGGGTCTGGTGATATAATGAGGGAGGCGTCTGATACCTCCCTCATTATATCACCAGACGCATTTATAAACCACTCTCATTATATCACCACCCCTTTATATACCTCCTTCATTATATCACCAGACCCCTTTATATTCCTCCCTCATTATATCACCAGACCCCTTTATAACCTCACTCATTATATCACCAGACCCCTTTATATACCCCCTTCATTATATCCCCAGACCCCTTTATATACCGCCCTCATTATATCACCAGACCCCTTTATATACCTCATTCATTATATTACCAGACCCCTTTATATACCGCCCTCATTATATCCCCAGTCCCCTTTATATACCTCCTTCATTATATCACCAGTCCCCTTTATATACCTCCTTCATTATATCACCAGCCCCCTTTATATACCTCCTTCATTATATTACCAGACCCATTTATATACCTCCCTCATTATATCACCAGACCCATTTATATACCTCCTTCATTATATTACCAGACCCATTTATATACCTCCCTCATTATATCACCAGACGCATTTAAAAACCACTCTCATTATATCACCACCCCTTTATATGCCTCCTTCATTATATCACCAGACCCCTTTATTTACCTCCCTCATTATATCACCAGACCCCTTTATATCCCTCCCTCATTATATCACCAGACCCCTTTATATTCCCCCTTCATTATATTACCAGACCCCTTTATATACCCCCCTCATTATATCACCAGACCCCTTTATATCCCTCCTTCATTATATCACCAGACCCCTTTATATGCCTCCCTCATTATATCACCAGACCCCTTTATAACCTCACTCATTATATCACCAGACCCCTTTATATACCCCCCTCATTATATCACCAGACCCCTTTATATCCCTCCTTCATTATATTACCAGACCCCTTTATATCCCTCCCTCATTATATCACCAGACCCCTTTATATCCCTCCCTCATTATATCACCAGACCCCTTTATATCCTTCCCTCATTATATCCCCAGGCCCCTTTATATTCCTCCCTCATTATATCACCAGACCCCTTTATATCCTTCCCTCATTATATCCCCAGGCCCCTTTATATTCCTCCCTCATTATATCACCAGCCCCCTTTATATACCTCCTTCATTATATTACCAGACCCCTTTATATACCTTATTCATTATATCATCAGACCCCTTTACATACCTCCTTCATTATATCACCAGACCCCTTTACATACCTCCTTCATTATATCACCAGACCCCTTTATATCCCTCCCTCATTATATTACCAGACCCCTTTATATACCTCCCTCATTATAACACCAGACCCCTTTATATACCTCCTTCAGTATATCACCAGACCCCTTTATATACCAACCTCATTATATCACCAGGACCCTTTATATACCTCCCTCATTATATCACCAGAGGCATTTATATACCTCCCTCATTATATCACCAGACCCTTTTATATACCTCCTTCATTATATTACCAGACCCCTTTATATCCCTCCCTCATTATATCACCAGACCCCTTTATATCCTTCCCTCATTATATCCCCAGGCCCCTTTATATTCCTCCCTCATTATATCACCAGACCCCTTTATATTCCTCCCTCATTATATCACCAGACCCCTTTATATCCCTCCCTCATTATATTACCAGACCCCTTTATATACCTCATTCATTATATTACCAGACCCCTTTATATACCTTATTCATTATATCATCAGACCCCTTTACATACCTCCTTCATTATATCACCAGACCCCTTTATTTACCTCCCTCATTATATCACCAGACCCCTTTATATGCCTCCCTCATTATATCACCAGACCCCTTTATATCCTTCCCTCATTATATCCCCAGGCCCCTTTATATTCCTCCCTCATTATATCACCAGCCCCCTTTATATACCTCCTTCATTATATTACCAGACCCATTTATATACCTCCCTCATTATATCACCAGACACCTTTATATACCTCCCTCATTATATCACCAGAGGCATTTATATACCTCCCTCATTATATCACCAGACACCTTTATATACTTCCCTCATTATATCACCAGACCCCTTTATATACTTCCCTCATTATATCGCCAGACCCCTTTATATTCCTCCCTCATTATATCACCAGCCCCCTTTATATACCCCCTTCATTATATTACCAGACCCCTTTATATACCTTATTCATTATATCATCAGACCCCTTTACATACCTCCTTCATTATATCACCAGACCCCTTTACATACCTCCTTCATTATATCACCAGACCCCTTTATATACTTCCCTCATTATATCGCCAGACCCCTTTATATTCCTCCCTCATTATATCACCAGACCCCTTTATATTCCTCCCTCATTATATCACCAGACCCCTTTATATACCACCCTCGTTATATCACCAGACCCCTTTATATACCACCCTCATTATATCACCATACCCCTTTATATACCTCCTTCATTATATTACCAGACCCATTTATATACCTCCCTCATTATATCACCAGACACCTTTATATACCTCCCTCATTATATCACCAGCCCCCTTTATATACCTCCTTCATTATATTACCAGACCCCTTTATATGCCTCCCTCATTATATCACCAGACCCCTTTATAACCTCACTCATTATATCACCAGACCCCTTTATATACCCCCCTCATTATATCACCAGACCCGTTTATATACCTCCTTCATTATATTACCAGACCCCTTTATATTCCTCCCTCATTATATCACCAGACCCCTTTATAACCTCACTCATTATATCACCAGACCCCTTTATATACCTTCCTCATTATATCACCAGACCCCTTTATATACCTCCCTCATTATATCACCAGACCCCTTTATATACCTTCCTCATTATATCACCAGACCCCTTTATAATGCCAGATAAAAAAAATCTGGATAAACGGAGGCAGTATAACAAGATCTTACCCTTATTTGATTCTCTGGTATATCAATTAAATTATATGCCTATTATTATTACATTGTAATAGGGTGGACCCCTGTCACATGCCTTATTCTAAGAAGAACCAAACAAGAGTTATCTATCTTGACTGACTAATAAAAGCAAATTTTCTCAATCATTTTTGGTCTTTTCTTCAATAAAAGTAAACTTAGGGATGTTTTCTTTTAACTTATAAGACATTAATAAAAACAGTGAAATTGAATAATTAATAAAGATATAACCAAAATATCCGTTGAATTGAATTGTTTGTACAAACCTTCCTGTTCCTTTTTCAATTCCGAAAAATATCCTCCAGTTTTGTATAAAACCAAAATCATATGGATTTCTAAAAGCCTGTCAAAAGTAAACAGAAAGATAAATCAATCAATTGTAACTAATTTACCCCTGAAGAAATATTTGAACTCCTCCAATTCAAAGGTTGGAATAGTTCATTATGACATTTCAGGGGTGAATGAGTTAACCAGATATAACCTTGTTAAACTTGTCAATACTAAAAAGGTCACAGTATACTTCACTATAACAAAAACGATATTTATGAAGATGCCTCAAAATATCATCGGTACCTATATAATGTATAGATAACTTAAATATATATTTCCATTATTGAAATTGGTCTTGAATATATTTTTCATGTTATGGAGATATAACACAAAAAAACGGAGCGGACTCTAAATAAACTGCGAAGCGGTTTATGATGAGAGTACACTTCGGTTTTTTGTGTTATAGTTCCATAACATGAAAAATATATTCAAGTTAATCCTTATAATTTTTATCTACTATACACAATCCCTGTGGAAATCCACTTTTATTGATGGACTCTTTTCTCTTAGAAATTATTGCGCTGCTGTATCAGCCAATCAAAAGTGACGTTACAAACGGCGACATCATTTTTTATGTTATGGGCTGATAACATAAATTTTTAAGTCAATGAAAATGCTTGTTACAAGCAAGATTAAATTATAACATAAGCATCCTGATGTATATATAGCCCTATTCGTTTTCCCATAAACTTATAATTGACAGCTAGGTTACAGTTAGCAATGCAAAGCAACCTGAGCAGGTCACAGTAGTCAGAATAAAATTGCTGGATATTTTTCCTAATGTTTTATTCAAATTTAAAAAAATCATACTCAAATCATTTTTTTTTCTTGAAGTATTTAAAGGGTTCATTAGCAAATAAAAGGTATATGCTAGTAAAACACTTATATCATTATTAAATCTGATAAAACCCTTTGATAATTTCATAAATCTTTAGTTTCTGTACAACACTGTACCCAGGTAATAGATGTTTTAGTCTACCTTCAATAAACTTAAAGTATGTAGCTGTTGTATTTCTACAGTTTACCTTCAAAGTATTCCTGTTACGATTTTAGAAGAAATCATGTTTGAAATAAATCATTGTACATGTATAAGTACAATCAAATTTGTAAAACGTTTTCTCACACTACTGTAAAGAAAAGAAAATTCAAATATAATACTTCACATCCACACACGTACAGTCATCAATATTTTTGATAAATTTCTCATTCACCCCTGAAGTCACATTTGAACTCCTCCAATTCAAAGGTTGGAATTGTTCATTTTGAAATTTCAGGGGTAAATGAGTTAAAGCATATTTTATAATTTCCATTAAATATTTTGGTTCTATTTCCCCCTGATTTACTGTCAAAACAGGATCAGCAAAGTTAACACACCACTTATTTTCCTTCATGAAATATGGACTGTATTGTCAGAAAAATGTACAGTGTTTGGGGGAGTTTTACAAACTGAATATGATTTTTTCAACAATGATTCAAAACGAATATGTGACTTACAATTCCCTGCTTCTTTAGTCGTACTCTTTCCTTCTTATTGATGTGCATCTCAATGTTGGTCTCGCCACGACTTATCATCCGGAAATGCCAAACGATGAGTCCGAGGACTGCTATGGCAACAGCAGAACAAACCAGAAACTCGAAGATGACAGCTATGTGGTAGTTCTGACGCTCATGTGTCACCTCCAGGTTGTAGCTTCTGTGAGCCATGGGTGTTGTCTACAAAAATATGTCGGTATATATCACAATACAGAACCTAGCTCATATGCCAGCTGTTCAACAAACTTTAGTTTTCATGTATTGGTCAACAAATCAGGTGAAACAGTATATGTTCTTAGGAACCGTTTTCATAAACTAGAGAAACTAAGCATAGCACACAAAACCCTATACCCACCCAACCCCACCCGTCCACCATGGTGAAATTCTATCTTAATAACAGACCTTGACTTCTGACCCAGGTCAATATTCAGGCCCATAATAGAACTTGTCAAAGGTATGCGGAGGTTAACTCTTTCACCACTGTAGACCATGATGGACTCATCCAGATCAATGTATGGTAGAGTCTACTAAAGTTAACTAGGGGTGAAAGGGTTAAATGATACTTGTGAAGTAAGTGAAACATACAAGTGACAGATCTAAGTCTAGTGTCAACAAATATGGTCGATAGATTGGTGTGGTTTTATATGGTTTATATTAGGTCATTTAAGGACGTATGACCACTAGACTTCTCATCCTAGGTTTTATCATCATGTTTGTCATCAATATAAAGCAGGACCACATTAAATATTAATGTTTTTAAAAACATATATTACCATAATGAGACCTGCACAATAATTACAGGTAAACTTCTGCCAATCAAGACAGCAGACCAGAATTATAATTGTACACTTCTGTCAACCAGAATAGAACTTACTGATAGTGTTTTGTTGATGACATCATAGGCTAGGTTTAATGGGTACAGCACAGCTGGGAACGGATAAGGCTGGAAGGTAGAAAGCATTGCATATTACAGAAAGGGTTTTTCACTTTTTATATGCTTAGCTGTTGGTACAGGGATTGGTGAGGCATAGTGAAGTTAACTTTACTCACTGTTGGCATTCTAATTTTATTATATAACATCACATGAAGTGAAGTACAGTATTTCCATAGTGCATGACAGCATATATAGCTGTAACAGGAGAAAGAGAAGACCATACATCCCTTGTATCATATAAAACCCTTTCTATCTCTATAAAATATCTTCAGTCTATAAACTTTTCCATATATTATATTTTATTCTTTTGCGATATTCCCGTAGCAAAACTGGACTGGGTCGATCGTCCGCGACCGGGTAGTTCAGTAGGTAGAGCTTTAAGTCTAGAATTTGGAGGGTCCCGGGTTAGAACCCCGGTCTGGCCTACAAATTTGAACTCCCACTATATTTTGTGTCTGTGACCAACCCTTTTTTGAAGTACTAAGTTAATGCTTGACAAGGGGATATCTAAACCTGGGTTTTATGTAGTGTTGTCTTCTGGGGCGAAGACATATAGGTAAAGGTGGGAGGAATAGAAGTGGAACTGAACTGGATCGATCCTCGTCGACCTGGTAGCTCCTTTTGTGGAGCGTCCCTCTAAAGTTCAGAGGGTTCCAGGTTCAAACTCTGGTCTGGGTGTGCATTTTTCTGCTCCTCTTACATTCAAATTATTTTTGAAGCAAAGGGAGGTAACTTCAGTCCTGTATAGTTTTCCTCATTTCTATACAACCTAATATTATAAATGTACCCACCGTTGCACCATAAAAGTGTTCGATAAACACATCATATCCTGTGAAACTGACGTACAGGGCTCCGACGAACATGTAACAACAGAAGAGAAAGAAGAAACGGTGTGTGTAAAACCCAACACAATTGTTTAGCCAAGCTGTGGTGGTGATTAAGGAAAGAATTCCGTATACAGTGTTACATATTTAGTGGAATATCAAAAAATGACGATTTAAATTTAAATTTGAATTTAACATTTATAAAATCTTTAAGATGTATGGAAGATGGAAAGTATATTATCATTGTTTAACAGATGCATATATACAGAGCATCAGTATTTCAGATGGTCTTCAAATTTCATTTCTGATAGTCGAACCAATGTAAAAAGGATTCATTCATTTCATTGCGATTAGTATATTACAATTACCGTACAAGCCATTGGATATTTGCTAATCTCAGTTCCGGATTTCTTTTTACATTGAAAACTGTCCCGGAGATAATATTAAGTTAAATGGAATCCCATTTGTCTAAACACTCTCCTTATTTAAAAAATAAATAAAATTCTGCCATCATGACTTGGTCCACATAAAATTGAAAAAGGAAAAGGTCAGTGTTGGAATGCCGTCTTTTCGTATTGCAGAGTTATCTTCTCTTGTGAGCCGGTATTGAATGTTACGTCATTGGTTTGTGTGAGAAAATTACGTCGTTTTCTCAAAAATTGATGACGTTACTCTCACAAACAAATGACGTAACAATCAATACCTGCTCACAAGAGCAGATAACTCTGCAATACGAAAAGACGGAATATAAGAGTCAGGAGGGGAAGATTTTGAGGGGCCGGCAAAGTGTCTGAAGGGGGATCGAGGGTTCTCAGTCCAGACTAACAAGGTTTCTCTGTACTAGCTGATTATGTTACAAGTCAGTGGTCTGTTAATCTTTTTTTCGTATTGAAATAAGCAAACAATTGCGGAAGACCCCATTCATTTTCTTCATGCTTTCCTCTTATTCCTTTATATACGCAACTGAATAGCACTTCAACTGGTAACGGTTGTCAAGGATACGACAGTGATGGTCCATCTTCAGTATACACCTGTCACAAATACTGCAGTGATGAGTTCGTGGAGGTTTGGGGGCAATGCATTTCCGGCATATAGAAACTGTCTCAGGAATTTTCTTTTGAGAAAAAAAACCATACACAAAAATAATGAAATTCATTGACAGTGAAAAAGGAAAATTGTATTTCAAACTTTTGAAATGTTATTAGTTAAATGTAGGACTGACAATGTATAGGTCAATAAATTGTCAAATATTCAAATTTCTTACATCTATAATTCTGTTAAAAGCACCTCTAGATGCAAAACAATTACTGATACATATATTTCAAGATGATAATTTAATAATATATTCTAACTTGATGATGCTCTTTGCTTTAAGTTCTCAGACTCTCAGGTAAAACATTTGTTATTCACAGCATCATAATCGTAACAAAACTACTATTTATATATATATATACATCAGTTAGTTTGTTGAGTATAATTTGAAATCATAACACTGACTGACCAGTGGGGGTGTTCCAGGATGAGTGAAAGCAGCCATGATGTAATTGAAGACAATATTGATTAGAAGCCAGTGTCCAAAAACCAGATGGAATATGGTGCGGCTCATACTCTGTGCGTACACGTGAGGCAGCAAGCAGGTGTAGAAAATCGCTACCACAGAGGTTGTCAAGAATATCACCATTGTCATAAAAATCTGGAACAAAGAGTTTAAACATGGGTTACCTGTTAATATTTCGCTTGTTTATATAAAGTATAAAAAATTCCAAAGACAATATTAAGGCCAAATAAAAATATAGCTGTGTTTCCCGACCGACCCTAATACATTCATGCCGACCCTAATACATTCATGCCGACCCTAATACATTTAATTGGTTTTTGACAGTCACTGTTGTGCATATATTAGCTGTTTAATTGTTTCGAGTATGCATATAATTTGCTATGAATTTTATAAGCCTTGGCTCGTGGTCAGTTGGGGGTGGGGTGGGGATGGGGGTGGGGGTGGGGGGTCCAGTCAGTGTTAGCTGATACCGACACCCACCCCCCTAGTCAAATTTAGCAGGTAAATTTATGGACATTTGAACCTAGTCATGTAGGGGTAGAATTTTAGCAGGATTTCAGCAGCATCAACAATTTTAATGTAGCAGGATTTTGTCAAGGGTCAGATAGTAAGGTAGTTCAGCATGGGAGTCAAAGGAGAGGAAGAGGTTGGGTTGGGGAGTTGAGTTAAGGAGGTTGAGTAATTAGGGAGACCGAGTTGAGAGGTCTATTGATATAAAGAAGAGTTAGAAAGTTAGAGTGAGAATTAGGAAGTTAGTAATAGTAGTGGTTTTAGCTGTAGTTTGTAGATCTGTGTAGTTTTACAGTTTATATAGTTGGAGATAAGTTTGGAGTGGAGAGATTGCAGAGTTCACAAAAGTGAAGACTTGTTTATATTATTTTATGATGAATTGAAACACTTGTTTAGTAAATATAGTGTATATATATGTATAAATGTACTTATTTTATTGTTCTATCAATTTTAAATAGTGGCAGTGGAAATTGAGAACAAAAAGCATCAATAATTACAAAAGAAAATGTATAACACTGGTGACCATCAGTGGAGTTTGGATTACTAAAAACTAGTGTCAAGCAGTAGGGGAAATACATATTTTTAACATTTACAGAGGTAATCAGGAGATTTTCTTCACCAAAAAACAAAATAAAATAAAAAGATAAAATAAAATGTTTTTCCTACCTACCTACCCTATTTTTTTTTGGAGCTGAAACAGGAAACACACATATATTTTTATTTGGCCTAAAGCAAGAATAATGAAGAGTGTTTTAACTTAAAAGGTTGGTTTGGGCCCATGATAGGAACAAAAAGAATTAAAATAACTAGAATACTGAAAGTAATTATAGCTTTTACATGTAATTTTACTATAGGCCTATAACCAAGTTGGTTGCATTTGGTCACACAACCATCATCTTTCATGCTATTGTATTGTCTGCAGCTCATTAGAATGGTACTAGTAAAAGGTATATAATTACAGTACATGTTGACAAGGGAAAACCTGAGAACCCTTAATTTAAAAGTATATCTTTTCTGTGACAAACAGAGAAACCAAATATCAAGGTTTTTGCCAGCTAGTTTGGGAACATTTGGGAACTAAACAGGAATTGGGAACATTTCATCAGCATTTGGTAAAAGTTGGGAACATTTCGTCAGTGTTCCCACATTTACAGTTTTGGGAAAATATCATAAATTCATGCATATTCATGTATTTTGAATGCTCTTCCATGGACGATAATACTTTGAACATTGCACAATTATGACTAGAAACTTGTATAAACATGCTTTTTACTGAAATTGCGAAAATGCATGGTCATTTTTCAATTGGGAATGGGTCCCTGTACCGGACCCTACCAACACCTACAGATGGTCAAAATGGTATTTTGAAGCATATCAGATGAAGTGAGATTAAATTACACTGATAGTTTATTTACTATATAGATATCTTCATAACATTATCAGATTTGAAACCCAGGACCCTTAGGTGGGTTTTTTTAAAATAATTTACAAATATTTCAACATTGTTATGAAAATCCACATGATTATTTTAATAGTGTAGTTTATGTTTTCAATATCAACCAAAACAACATACACGATAGCAACCTTTGTAAATGGCTTATAAAAACCTAGCTAGATAGTTTTACTACATCTTTTCTTCACATCTACCAATTTGTGAACCAAGCCTTTAGCAAGTTAGAAGGACAATATGCCATAATACAAAATGCCTGAACCAATGTGCTAATTTGCAGATCTATGTAACTTAATATTTTTGTACAATTCAAAATACTGCTTTATTATGTTCATATGTTGCAGTATAAGATAAAAATACAATGATACTTACTGGTCCCAAATATTTGGCAAATTTATCCACAAACCAGAAGACTGGTTCTAGAGATGTTTCCATCGCTATGGAGACTGACGTAAAGTGATTGTAATACAATGTCATTCGGAGAAGCTTTATCCACAAAATAAAGGTGTCCATCAACTTTTTGAGTCTCCACGGAAGCTCGTGGATTTTCCACTGAACTCTTGCCATGATGATGATGTCAAAATTGTTTCTGAAGAATTACATGTATATACTTCAGTGGTCTGTTAAGGGTCAAGTGGTCTGAAGGGTCATATGTGATGTCCAGTTGCTCTAGTAGTTAGTATAAATATACCGTAAGATAATTGAAGTCTAGTTGAACAGAAAACACTTATCAGATGATGGCAGTTGACCACCCAACAGCACACTGATACATCACTGCAAGATATATATACTCCTCTTCTCCTGATCAAGGGTAATTCTTCCAATCAATCTGCAATAAAAAAAAAAAGAAGGTAAAAGCGAACGAGTGTGCTACTTCTGTAACAAATGAGGCTGCTGGTCAGCTATTTTTTTTATTAAATATGATAGTGATGACTGTTACTTGGCACTTGTCACAAGTACTCGCCTTGTTAAACCTCTAACATTGTTGGAGTTAATGACTCTAAAGAGTGTACAAGACAGAATGCTGATTGGGGGACATGTTTTTGTACCTGCGATTCATCTCCATCTTTTGAATGTCAGCCATCAATAATGATTATATTGAGGTAGTTTAGGAAGATAGTGAAGCATATATATATTGTGATAAATCATATAGGTGTTTTTTTGTTTTTTTTTTAAATTTGCATTTGCTGTAAGATAAAGGAGGCAAAACAGGTCAATTTAGTTGTTATGTTGTTTGTGTTTGTCTTCTATTAATCTGTTTGAGGCACATTTTTTGAATTCTTAAAGTGTTGTGCATTGGCCATCCGTAATGTCAACATTTTCTTCCAAAATGAGTACGAAATCACGACTGTTTCTTAAGTGCGCGGAAACCGGTAACACAAGGATACTATAAGAGATATAGACTGGAACTCCCTGCCAGTCTCTGTAGCTTCTGCTGACACACTTGACTCATTCAAGTGTGCACTTTACAACTTACACAGCTCTTTCTAATTCCTACCACAGTTTACAGCATCTTGACCAACTGCTTGTAAACAATCACCAATACAACCCTTCCATGCCCATACTAACTTTTGGCTGTCCTTTGTGTTCAACCAAGGGACGAATACTAACAAGTCCTTACGTAACATTCCGTCCATACGTCTGCACTGTCCTCACATCAATACATCACTGTCAAATGTTGTAACACTGTTCATGTACCTCTGTATATATATATATATATATATGTAAATTTTATAACATTGACATTGTATACTATGATAGACACCCTTGGCATATAGCTCACGTACATGCGCACGGACAGTTATCGCTCCAACCTAGGAGTCTTTGTCCGTTCTTGGAAGAAGAAACACACACGTGCGGTGTCCACATGACAGGGACCCAGGGAGTCATACACGTGTGAAACGCCCCACTATGATCATTTTAGAGTCAGCAAGTTCAACATTGAACGATGGACATATACATACATTAGAGTGACCGAACACGTCTTATCACAGATATAAATACATATGCATGTTAAAGCATGCATACAATGTGTACACACACACTTACCATTTAAAGTATATGGAATATGCAAGTAAAACAATTTCTACCGGCTCCCGGAAGTGCAAGAGTTGTAGGTAAAAGCAAAACCAACTAACGGGGGAACATACACGGAAAATACACACAACTACCGTTTTCAAACTAACAATTCTCACACGAAAACTTTTAAATTTAGATATCGTTGGTATTTAACACACAGTCTTACTCTTACTACTTAGATTAGAGGGATTGGGATCCCGAAGTGATAACCTCCCTCTATTGGCCCTTCTGAAGTGGCGGATCCAGAGGTTTTTTTGGGGCTTCAGGAAACCCCCCCACCCTGAGAATTTTCTTTAAAAATCATGTATTTTCACTATTTTCCTCAATTTTTCCCCACATGGAAATCCCCCCAGGAAATTTGGACCCCCCCCCCCCCAGATAGGTCTCTGGATCCTATGAGAATGATTTTGAGATTCTTTATTCGTTCTAAAAGAAACAAGTAAATATATAGCAATTATTGTAATATTTCTCTTCAAGTGATAATAAACATAGTTTATAATGTAGCGGCACTTATATACATGTAGTAATTAACATAGGTAAAAATATGGAATTTAGCATTGGACACTATCAGGGACAGTATCCTGACACTATATATTTAACAATAGAAATAGTGAATTTAGCAATATAAATAGTGACTTAAACAAAATTGAATTTAGCAATAAAAAATATGAATTTAGCAAAAGAAATTGTGAATTCAGCAATTGAAATTTTGACTTTAGCAATGGAATTTGTGGTTGAATTTAACAATAGAGAATTTACCAATAGAAATTGTGAATTCGGCAATAGTGAATTTAGCTATAGAAATTGTGAATTCGGCAATAGTGAATTTAGCTATAGAAATTGTGACTTTAGCAATAGTGAATTTAGCAATACAAATAGTAATTTAGCAATATAATTTGTGAATTTAGCAATAAATCTGGAAATTGTAATGTAACACTCACTGGGAACAGCAATAATAATAATTATAATAATGATTTTTATTCAACATCGTGTACATTGTCAACCCGCGCAACAAACATAAGCTCTGTAGAGCTTTTATTTGTTGTGGAGGAAAATCTTGCGTTAATTTTTTTTTAATTCAGTATTTTTCTTTTGAATTTTCCTTTTCATAAAGATGATTTTAAAAATCACAGTCAACCGTGTAACAGGTAAAAAAACGAATTGATCGTCAGTTCAATTATTAATATTCATTTTTTCCAACCATTGAAATCCGAAAATAGTTATTTCCGGACACCTATTTTACACTTATAATATTCTTTCGCGCATGCTTATAATTCATTTCCGCGCGAAATCAAATATATAAACAATGAACAGGTGCTCTCTTGTTAAAATGTTATGAAAACACGTCAAAGTTATGCTTAAAAGCAATATACATACATCATTCGTTCATTTAATAGTTACCAATACTCGGCATCCTTCATCATGTTTGCATCGGCGGGCAAAAGGAAGTATCCTTTCTTGAATCAAGAGATTTGTCACCAAGCGGCAAATGTCCAACATCGCATCTTAACGGATTCACAACATTTTCTACCGGTATGTAAATTTTCAATTTTGAACTATCCAGAACTTACAAAAAAAACTTAATGGCTAGTATTTTTCTTCTATATGTACCTGTGTCCCCTACGTATATCCCACTGGAAATTATGATGGTATATCTTGGCCTTCATGGGCACGCGTTCATGAAACTCACGGCAGATCTCATTCTCAAATTCTTATTAGGTGCTTAAGCCACAATATTAGAAAAATATAAGAAGGGTGTACGTTCAGTTTATGATTTGAGCAAATATTTTTGTAAATGTACAAGTTCACTACAAGACAGTTGGTTTGTTTAAATAATATATAATAAATCAGGCAATGTTTAAGGATGAGAAGGATTGTATGAATATAGGCCAAGTAGAATATGTATTTCTGGTTTTGATGTATAGGACATGCGTATGATCGTACATGTATATACTCAACGACATATGTATGATACTGTAACATTTAAATTTTTAACTTTCGGTTTATATTAGGAGTTGCTTCCCTTCCTTCAGTTCTGAGACATAAATTCCATACTTTCTGATTATACATATGTATATTATATTTGACAGAAAAGGGTTTGCATTGGTAACCAGCTGGAGAGTAGTAACCAAGTACGTCTGACAACAATCCGAGAGGAGATTTATAACTCGATGCAAATGAATCGCACCAATACGGCTGTCAATCAACACCAAACTACACACATTGGACAAACCACAGACAACTGTTCAATGGAGGTATACACATACAGATCAAATAAATGACTGTGTCACCTATACAGTATACTATAAACAGTTACTGGTATAAAATTCATATATTAGGGAGCTATCCACTGCATTCTAAATAAAATGATAAAATAAAAGTTGCATATTGCAGCAAACTACAAATTCTTTTGTGGAAAAAAATCTTTTTCATTGATCTCTATTTTTTTCCAAATCCATAGCAAAAACAAGATATTGATTAAATAATCAAAAATTATAATTTGGAAGATTTGAACCATTAATTATAAATGACTGATACCCAGGTGTTTTCATATACAGGCAGTGATTATTTTTGCTTGATGAAGGTATACTACCCAATACAGGCTGTTTCCCCTAGCTAAAAAGTGCCTTAATTTACCGAAATGACCAAAAACTGAGGAATACATCCAAATTTCAAAACAAATGATGCTTTATTTTCCCAATGAATAAAGGAACAGGCTGTTGTAGAATTTCGGTAATAAAAACACTGACAGGTATATGTAGTGTACATATATTTGGTTGTATGATTTTTTTTTTATAATATTTCCTTAATTTTACAGACCAGTCCTGAAGAGCAGCACTATGTCAACAATAATCTCAACAATAACAGTATGTGTGAGGGTAACAGACAGCAGAGCGTTAGATGTACGCGCTGTGAGGCCGGTCAGGGGGTGAGTATTCTCAATATCTGTCCTACTATAGAAACACGAGAGGAAAAATCTAAGGCTTGACCCTAAGGCTTGACCCAGACCAGGATTTGAACCCGAGACCCTCCAAACGTATACCTGGTCATGGATGAATGACCCAGTCCAGTTCCACTACATATATATATACATTCCTCTCTCCTTTTACTAAGTCTTTGCCCCCCAAGTCATCACTAACCCTCCAAACTCTACCTGCAGCTGGACGCAGTCCAGTTCTACTACTCTATAAAAAAATGTTAGATAACATAGTTTCAATACTTTTGGAAACAGGAATTACAATTTATATTCAATAAACCTGTTAACAACATATCCATATATATTGAGTAATTTACATCTGTTGTAATGTACATGTATAGGTATACACACTAATATGTTTTTTTGTTGTTTTTTCAGGGACATTTTCAACACATATTTCAATGATCCTGTATTGATGTGAGGATCTGGGATATACACAAAAGTGCCATGGTACTACGGTGTACTAATTCAGGGGAAAACTCCTCGCAGGCGAAGATCACGTCTTTCTCTGCTGTATACTTAGCAAGCATGGAGACAGCTTGTGCATGTCAAATATCATGCATTTTAATATATTTTTAAAACTTTTAAATTGAAAATAAATTGTTACCCATCTTTAAAATGAAAAAAAAGCATAATGCAGTGATTTATGGACACAAACATTTGAGTCCTAGACCCCTCTGAGTTTCCTGTCACATTCATTGTTTTCTGAGATACCACTGAATCTGTTAGTTAATGATACTCATCAAAATTTTGAAAATGATCCTCAGAAAAGTAACTAGTTTTGTAATCTCTGAACCACTTTACAATGCCTGAATTGTCAAGTTTAGAGACGGTATCTTCCAATATTGAATATTGAATAGCTCAATTGAGTTTTGTTGCTTTCAATAGTTTCTATGTTAATAATAATTTATTATTTCTAGTTTCTACTTATAATCATGAAGTTAACGATTCAAGTTGATGAACAAATATATAGTTAAAAATTCAAGTTGATGAAAAAATATATAGTTAAAAAATCAAGTTGATGAAAAAATATATAGTTAAAAATTCAAGTTGATGAAAAAATGTTGCCGTTAAGATATAAAAATGTGCATGAGTGTAACATATACATAGATTTTATGTTTATATTTGAAATTTGAAAATAATTGAAGACTTTGCCAACATTTTTTTACATGTGTTACAGTGTAAAAGAAAACTACAATTGTAAGCATTGAATCCTGTGAGGCTTAAGATGGGGAAGGGGAGATAAATATGTTAAGATATTAAATGGCACTTTATTTAAATTTGATATTTATTGGCTTTACAGATAATTATTATTATTATGTTCATTGTCAGTGAAGTTAAATATGTATTTTATAGAATTTCACAGTTCCAAGAAATGTTGAACTGAACAACATTCAAAGACTGCCCTGTAGACCATATTTATCCCACAATAACTCCAGTGGGTTGACATATAATTTCTAAATTAAAGAAGAGATTGGGTTTGTTATAGGACATTGAAGGCACTTGTTACTATTTCTACTGAACTGCAGTAGCTATAGGTGTATTACATTTGTAGTGAGCTTTGTTAAAAAAAAATGTTTCTGGTTTCCTTAACTTTTTGTGCTTATCCTAAACTCACTTTTGGCAATTTTCAAGGAAGCACTGTTAAAGTTAAGAATACTCTTATATGAAAAAAATATTGGTGAACACAATAAAATGTATTATCTACCTATCCTTAATTATTTGTTTGGCCTTATAAGTTGATAAAACAGTAATAGTTATGCCAGGTTTCATGTTGATATTATGCTTGTTCATGATCAGTTGTCAAAATGAGACCACACAATTTAAAGTGGACACCAAGCATTTGAATCAGAATGTCTTATATTTCTTAATGATATTAGTATTATTACTATCAGTTATCATACTATTATTAGTATCGCCTGGGTCTCCACTTTAAAAAAAAAAATACCCAGCTCTAGTTCTAGTGCTGTTATGCCTGTATGACTTAAGCTTACTCAGAATGATGCCAAACTCAAATATGGTAGTGTTTAAAAAATTATCACATACTTCTGTGGTCACAGAAAAGTGTACAATATAGCTTGACCTGATACTCCAAGCTTGACCTGATACTCCAATACAGTACAGCATAACTTGTATGTGTAGCGGATCTGGACTGGGTTGATTATCAGAGTCCAGGTAGCTCAATTGGTAGAGCATCCGTCTGGCCGTGCACTTTTCCCGTGCTGTTACATATGTACCACCCATTGTCTAATCCAGTATATAAAGTCCCAATAATTTTCTCTCCGATGATTTTGTTAGTGATCTGTGTAATATTCTTAATTCACCCTGTCTTCTCTCAGAACTAATAAGATTTTACAAAAGCTGCCACAAAGGCAGGAATAAATATTGAAAAGGGATTTTTATATTATCAAGATTTATAATACAATCCTTGTAAAAAAATCCCTATTCAATGTTCATTTCTGCCTTTCAATTTTACTCCATTCACTATCCCAACAAATTTACAATTTCTGACAAAAAAAATGTTTGTTAAATTTGATCGTAAATTATAAGGCTGGGAAAGGTGTTTTTTACCCTTGTGACCATGACAGAACATTTTAAAAACTAACATTGTATATAACTGGAATATCTCTTCATAGCTTTGATAATATTTGGAAATAAGATTCAAATCTGTTTCACTTTGAACCATGCAGACGATTTGCGAGTTGCTTCCCTTTGACCGTGTTGCTTCCCGTGTTGCGCATAATCTACTTCCTGTGATCTGACGGAAATGGCCAATGGTCTGTTCTATGAAAATATGTCGATTCCTTTTAAACTGTTGACAAAATGGAGTACTTGTTTACACGTGCCATCAAACACAATTTGGAGTGTCAAGTTGTTGATGGGATTAAAATTCTGTTACAAAAATCATGTAATATTTGGTAGATTCTGTCATTCATACTGTGAGTGGAGTGTGTATGCTTGCATATTAGCTAAATAAATTGTACAGGTAGCATTGTATACGTCCCATGTTCACAAAAAGCCCCCTTCCAAGTCTCGTGCAGTAAATGATATCTGTGTATGTGTTTGGAGAGATTTTTTGTATGTTTATATTAATGTTTTTATTTAGATCTCAAATAGTTTTATTTCAGTATTTTAACTTTTTTTTTTAAATGAAAATTTTACAAATATATGTCAATAAAAAATATGCAATGAATTGTATTAATTACTTGTTATTTAGAATTCCAGGTGTTCTAAAACCCTCCTGTTGTAGCTATTGTCCCGGCAGGAACATGTGAATTGCAACCAGATTTAAATATTCTAGGGTTTACATCTACAGGTACTGTATGTCGTGACAGAATCAGAGGCACGCGTTTAGCTATTCGATAAATTTAAGGGTAAAAAAAAACCTGATCAATTATTAGGCTGATAACTACAGAGGGGCGACACCCAAATTCAGAGCAAGTCAATTTTACCGTTACGCTGCTACGCGATTTTTTCGATGTACATGAAAGGAACAAACTAGTGTAGTTCACAAGATGGCGTGTTATTTTTTACTGAACCGTACATCCGGGTACAGCGAGATTAGCGCCGTCATCTTGTAGGTCAAGCGGAACACGAAGTGCGTTACTGTCATGAAATCATCAACGCGTACAGAGAACGTAAATGGAGTTTTGACGATGCGTACACATCATAACTGTGGTGAGGACGAAATGATACAAATCTACCGCAATTATATACAGAGTTCAGTTATGGTGGTCAACTCATATCGCCTGCATTGTTGCGTACTCGAGACCTTGATTAGGTCGTTAGAACATACAATGGTGCATGGAAGGTGTGTTAAAAAACTTATATCGAGAGCACAACGAATGAATTTCAAAGAAGACCAATGAGCTTCTGTAATCACAGCCAAGGCCAATATATCAACAACTTACTACAACACTCCTGATAGTTAAACAACACTTAATTCAGATGATGGGAATGCTCATTTCTTCCAACTAAAATGAATAATTCACCTTATCAAACAGACGATACAAATATATTAATACCAATCCAAAACACAACCCGCATTTAATTGTCTGTATAATGAACGACGTGGCCAACTGGCCAGACGATGGGCCAGCTGTTTATCGCTGGAAGTTGGACTAAACATTGAGGTTAAACAGAGATGTTTGTCCCTCGCGGCATAATGAATGACATATATATCTTAATACCGACAACGGTTTTACGTTCAGCCTGCTACCCAACACGTATTCTGAGATGCTGGAATTGGAAACCAAGGATCTAGATTGTTTTGATTGTGTGTCTAGTTTCGTGCGTGGCCGGTGGATGTGTATTCGTAAGAGCTTAAAGCCCAATTTCCACAGATTATTGTGAGCAAGATAATTAGCAGCTATATATGGCCCCAATGTAATACCCGACCCTTGTTGACTGTCATTGTTAATCTTCTATACCAAGGACAAATGACAAGATGTTGTGTTTTTATATCCCAGATCTGGTATACCCTGTCAATATCGTATACAATTCCCACTCACGGCGTCCAGCGTCATTCTGAAAATGAAAAGATTAAAAACTTCCCTATTGACAAGTTTGTTTCTTTAAGAGAACCAGTACAATTTTCATGTTACTGCAGTTGCATCTATTTTCCCTTTGCCTGTTTTCCGTAAATTCAAATGTTTAAAACCACTATTATGCGCACAATATCGAATCACTTTATTCCTGGTCTCGGGGATTTAATAGGAAAGCTGTGTATGCGTTCTTGTAATAAAACGTTTATCGGCTTCTGCAAATCTATTTTTGACGTAGAAGATCGATAGACGTCATCAGTTAATTAGAAACAAATTGATTGTCGATTTTGTGTGAACGGAAACAAATGTGGCAATTCGGACAGATTGCTGCTCTTCTACTATTGCCTTCCGAATGACAAGCTGCTCTTCTGATGCCTTCCGAGTAACACTACCGTTCCAGATTCCTCCGAGTGACAACATGGTACTTTTCTGACTTTCTCCGAATGCTAAAATGCTACTTTTCTTATTTATTCTAAATAACAGCATGGTACTTTTCTGACATCCTCAAAGTTACAACATGGTACTTTTCTGATATCCTCAAAGTGACAACATGGTTCTTTTCTGACGACCTCTGAGTGACAACATGGTACTTTTCTGACGTCCGTTGGGTGACAACATGGCTCTTTTCTGACGTCCTTTGAGTGACAACATGGTACTTTTCTGACGTCCGTTGGGTGACAACATGGTTCTTTTCTGACGTCCTTTGAGTGACAACATGGTACTTTTCTGACGTCCTTCGAGGGACAACATGTTATTAATTGTCGTCCTCTGAGTGACAACATGGTACTTTACTGACGTCCTTTGAGTGACAACATGGTTCTTTTCTGACGTCCGTTGGGTGACAACATTGTATTAATTGACGTCCTTTGAATGACAACATGGTTCTTTTCCTGACGTCCTTTGAGTGACAACATGGTACTTTTCTGACGTCCTTCGAGGGACAACATGGTATTAATTGACGTTCTCCGAGTGACAACATGGTACTTTACTGACGTCCTTTGAGTGACAAAATGATTCTTTCCTGACGTCCTTTGAGTGACAACATGGTACTTTACTGACGTCCTTTGAGTGACATCATGGCAGGGGCGGGTCCAGGTGAGGGCGTACGCCCCCCCCC